CAACGCACTATCGAAGAATTAGAGGGGACCTAATCCTAACCTACCGTATTTTGACTGGGAAGGTTGGCCCTGATTTGTCCATACTATTTAGTCCTGCTAGATTATCTGGTCTCCGCGGGCATTGTATGAAGCTGGACAAACCGCGGTCCGATCGAGTTAGAGCGGAGACACGCTTATCGCGTCGGGTCATCGAGCGCTGGAACCTGCTTCCAGAAAATGTTGTCAAAGAAGCTACGGTTAAGGGGTTTGAGCGTCAACTAGATGCTCTTGGATGGCAACACGAAATCTTTCCGTTTTTCTGACAAATTCCCATCTTCATACTTCGATTCTATTTTCTTTACTTTTCCTAGCCATTAGTATTATTCTCTTTTTTAACTGATTTCCCCTACTCTCTTACCTTCGATTCTTCTTCCTCTCTTCACGTAACTGACAGCTGGGACAGCTAATGTAAGGAACGTGCGCATTAAATTGGTGGACCAGGGTGTTTTTCGGGTGTTTTTGTTTTAGACCCATCAAGAAGTCGGAGCACCCCTATCAACTCTTGGATCGACGACCCGCTCAAGAAGGAACACGTACGGGATTCATCCTATCGCTCCAGTCCCACTTGAACTTGAACTAGTGCAGGGCACGTGGGCATTGTTTTGGTTGACCATGTGAATCGTGTGTGTTGATTTGGCTCTCCTTTGGCACATCAAGGCACCGGTTTCCCTGTTTGATCAACGACGTTTTCCAAAGTGGAACATTCGCGGGATTTTTCTGCTGTTCCGGTCCCACGAACTTGTATTGACAGAGCTGACACAGGACCTTTCTTCCGCTCTCTATCATCCAATGATCAGTGTACCAAGTCTAGTCTATGTGCCACCGGAGCGAGTGCAAAAGCAGGCGCACCCAAGGTTCGAACCCAGACCGCCGTGGTGCAATCTCGCACGCTACTACCACGCTATGGTAGTCCTTTTGACTGAAAAATCGCATCATCCATCACCGCCTAGCTACTGTACCATAGCCACACTGTCAAAATCCATTGATCGCTCGTGGCGCATTCGACGGTCTGCTTGAACATGAGACTCAGATGTCTCCTCGCTGACTGTACTACAACCTATTGGCTAAAGTGATTATTGTGTGGTCTCGTTCGAGTGGAAACGCCGTCTCACCATTCATGACCAGTGTGTACCGTTGGAACTTCTGGCGTCCGCACCCACAACGTCTAAGACTTACTGCAACTGCTCTAGATTAGAGCATTCCCGAGAACGTCGAGGTTGACGACGTGCGGGGCCTCTTACACTCAAAACTAATGTCATTCATTGGTTAAATGGTCTTCTGCAGACGGAAGCAGTTTTTCAAGGGCCTTCCTTGGATCGACCATGTTACGGATCCTTATAAACAAACGACAGATTGTGGGATAGATTAAGTCCAAAACATCGTCTTTCGACTACTCGAACTATAAGGCGGCTAGAAACTTCTGCACACAAACGGAATGCGAAAATCGACAAGTACGAACTTCGTTTGACAAAAAACTTCAGCCACTCTCAAACTGCTGTACTCGGGTCTGAATGTATACAAATGCTAAGTCTGGCATACCTGCCTTGTATTTTAGCACTGATGATACGTTACAGTATTGGAATGACGCCCAAACTGATCACCTGGTTTGCAGTATTCTTCCGTATTTCCATCGAGACTCCATCATCCAATGACTTTGTGTCACCCCAATCCACTACACTAGAGCAAATTGAGCTCCATGACGAATTCGTTGTGCGACTATTTCTTAATTACATTCGAACTTTCCTCCGGGACCGGATGTTCTGTACCCTTTGTTCTTCAGTACCTAAAATCTGCAGATCGTGTTAGGATCTACTGTGACTCGTAGGATAGCTATCCGACCACAAGTGGCGGTCATTTAATTTCCCTCTTTTTGTTCAACTTCGTCGTGGACCCTATCATGGTGTGTTCCCTTGCGGAATCTAACGATGTAGACGTTGAAGTGCTGCCTGGTGAAAGGTTAGTTGACCTTCATTATGCGGATGACATCGTCTTGCTTTTCAGCGATGTTGCAGTGGCGCAATCAACCCTGAATAGCCTATCCAGAGTGGTCCCATTATTTGGTATGCGCTTCGCACCTTCAAAGTGCAAAGTGTTGCTGCAGGACCACCAGCCACTTGATGACCCCTTGACCCTTGCTAACGAGGAACTCGAGGGAGTTGATCGATTCGCTTACCTTAGCAGCTGCATTAGCAACGATGGGCGCATAGAAACTGAAGTCACTTCACGCAATGCAAAAGCCAGAACTGCCTTTTTGAATGGGCGGCTTCGTTTGCGACAGAAGAAAGTTTCCCTTCGTCTGAAGGGCCGTGTATACAAGGCCACAGGGAGGGCTGCTCTGCTCTATGGTAGTGAAACTTGGCCCCTTCGGTCTGAAGATCTGAGGCGCCTTCAAGTCACCGTTTTCTGCGAAGCACTGCTGGTCTCGGATGGCACCAGCGTATCGGCAACGATGATGTGCGTAGGCGGGTATTAGGCAGAGATAACTAAGCTAGTTTCTTGGAACAAGAGAGCACTAAATAAGTTGCGTTAGCTTGGGTACGCGCTACGTATGCCTGGTCACCGATTACCTAGGAGGTCCTTGTTTTGTCTGCCAGGTGTAGGATGGCTTAAGACTCGAGGTGGACAGAGGTTGACTTGGCAGCGGAAAATGAAGTCACCGACGACCAAACTGGGTGCCGTTGGTCCGTCTCGCCTTCCGGGCTGGAGTCCACGTGACTCGTCCTGTGCTTGGCTCGAGACTTTACAGGACATGGATCGCAATAGACACCAGTGGCGCGTCTGCTGCCGTCTCCCAGCCGGACTGCCCGTAGAAAGTGTGCTTGATGCTGCTGTTTTCTGCGGGGTAATGGCTGATTATGACGCGTGGCAGTGTAATCCGCAAGGAAGCAGTCTCGCAGATGCCGCCTTCTCTTAGCACGATAGGCAGCTGTTTGTGACATGTTGTTAACACAGGATGTAGGCACCTTGGCCCCGAACGTTTTTTTAGAAAATTAATGTTTTCAGATAAGTCCTCTTTTTTATTTTTCTTTATTTCATTGGCTCTCGTGGTTGTATGGCAGGGCAGCATCGGTTCAGGTGGCTGATGTACTGCTGTTTTGGATGGTTTTTTCCCCAAGACTGTGGCGTAGCATATTGCTTTTCCTGTTTGCAGTTTTTCGGCGCTCCCTTTATACCGGATGTCTTGCGAGTGCTTGCAAACTGGATACTCTGAGGCCTGTTGTGTCTGACAAAGTGGTATAACCCGCTCTAAGTTTACGCCGAGTTGGACTTTAGTGCGATTGCTCACAGCCAGTTAACAAGTAGTAAAATCAGCGAACCTCTTTGATGGCACGGACGGGGAAATGTAACATGGATCTGTAAATTAAGATCTGACGACCGATGGGTATCACACACAACAATCCAAAGCGGTACAGCGTAACCGAAATCAGAATAAGAACAAAAATCAAAAAAGCTGAAAATTCACCAGTCGTGGTGCAAAAGTTCACATTATTGGCTTGCCTTGAATATCTGGATGTATCTATTATAACGAATGTACAATAGTTTGTGAAAGATAGAATGGAAAGTTATGATAAAAATGCGACTTATAAACAATACTGGACTCCACCCTAGGCACACCATCGTTGCGGACACGCTGGTGCCATCCGACACCAGCAGTGCTTCGTAGACAACAATGATCCAAGATTTAAAGGGGTCTCAGATCTTCAGACCAAAGGGACCAAGTTTCACTACCATAGAGCAGGACGGCTATCACTGTGGCCTTGTGTACACGGCTTTCCAGACAGATGGAAAAACCCTTCTATCGCCAACGATGCCGCACCTTCAAGAAGGCAGTTCTGGCTCTTGCTATGCGTGAACTGACTTTAGTTTCTATGCACCCGTCGTTGATGAGGAAGCTGCCAAGGTTAATGAATCGATCAACCACCTCAAGTTTCTCTTTAGCAAGGATCATGGGGTCATAAAGTGCCTGGTGGTCCTGCAGCAACACTTCGCACTTTGAACGTGCGAAGCGCATACCAAATAATGGGTCCACTCTATACAGGCTATTCAGAGTTGATTGTGCTGCCCCAACATCGTTGAAAAGCAAGACGATATCGTCCGGATAATCAAGATCAATTAACCATTCACGAGGCAGGACCTCAATGCCTACATGGTGAGATTCCGCAAGGGAACACTTCATGATAGAGGCCTCGACGAAATTGAACAATGCGGGGAAATCGGACAATCCTGAGGAACGCCAGTTATGCTCGGAAAGCTATCCGACAGGCCACCGTAGACCCTGACGCGGCCTGTAGTGTTCGAGTATAGAGCAGGTAGGATGTTCACATATTTCCTGAAAACACCTTACCATGCATTTCGAACCGGTTGCATCGGTCGACTGAATCGAACGCACTCTTGAAATCGAGGAAAACAGCTATTGTCGGTCTGTGGTGTGCGTGGCGCTGCTCTAGCACCAACATCATCATCAACAAGAGCAGTACAGCAGCCAGCTGAGCTGATGCTTCGCTGACATACAACCATGAGGACCTATGGAATACAGATTAATAAGAGGGACAGTAGGGGGATTTACGTGAAAACCTTGATGCCCTAAGCAAACATTCAAGTTCAAGACGCCTACACCTTGTGTAGATAACATACCGTCACAAACAGCTGGCTACCGTGCAAAGATAAGGGGGGCATCGGCGAGACAGCTTCCTTGCGGCTTTTACTGCCCCGCGTCATAGTCAGCCACTACCCAGCAAATAAGTCAGCACTAAACACACTTTAAACAGGCAATCCGAATGGGAGATGGCAACAGACGCGCCACTGGTGTCGGTCGCTAGCCATGTCCTGTATAGTCTTGAGTCCAGCACATAGTGAGTCACATAGACTCCAGCCCGGAAGGCGAGCCCGACCAACGGCACCCACTTTGGTCGTCCGTATAGCCCCGTAATGAGGAACTGCTGTTTCGATTTTTCGCGCCTGTCTCCGTTCCAACCAGCCCGACGCATCGTTTGTTGGACTTGCCCTGTGACGCGCCGTAGGTTGACTCCAACTCAACCATCCTCGCGTGATCCAGCGTTTTCACCATGGACGACACTGGCAAGTACACATATATTCCCATAGATGCATAAGGTCGTTCTACACGCATGTGACCTGGTGAGATATTTTGAGATAGACTAACGTCTACTATTGGATGGTTGGCAATTTAGTGCGCACTACCTCACACCCGAAGGAGGGACCCTTTGACACGCATTAACAGAGTAGAGGGAGCAGACTTTTGAGACAGGCTGTAATTGATGGTCGGGGTGGAGAAAGTACATTTGTCTTCACGAATCCGGAAACTATACGACTGGATACGACTAAGCACCTCCAAGCGGTTAAATTATTCCTCTGATGTTTGTACCATTACCATGATGTCATTCACATATACTGCGGCTCCAGGTACCCCACCAGCATAGTATCCATCAGCTGTTGAAAAATGGCTGGCGCCGTTTTTACGCCAGAAAGCAAGCGGTTGTATTGGTATAGCTCACGGTGAGTGTTGATCGTCAATAGCTCTTTCTGGTCCTCCGCAGCCTCTACCTGAAGGTGTGCATCAGACAAGTCAAGCTTGACAAAGCACCTGTCAACATTCAATTTTGCGAAAATGTCTTCCGGCAATGGCAGTGGGAACTGGTAGTTGTCGAGAGCAGCGTCAAGACCAGTTGTGAAATCTGCGCAGACGCGCACTTTACCATTCGCTTTCTTTATTGCGACAATGGGTGCGGCCCATGACGCGTAGTTTACAGGTGTGATGACGTCGGTTCGTTACAGTCGCTCAAGCTCTTGCTCAACGATTGATATCGCTGCACACGGCACCGGTCGTTTAGCTTTAAAGAATGGCTTGGGTCCTGGTCGCAAAGACAGCGTCGCTGTGGATTTGGTGCAATGGCCTAGGTCATCCTCAAACACTGGGTCAAATTTTTGTTCCAGCGGACGTGTCACTTCGTCGACCGGCTTCGTTGATGCGTCTGGATTCGCTCGAATTCTGTTGCACATCAGATTCATTGGAACATCGAGCAGTCGCAACTTTTCAATCCAGTCTAGCCCAAGTAGGTTCAGATTTAGCTTATATGACATGTAAACCGTCCCTGTTTCTTCCACACTGTTGAATGTCATTGTGCAGGTAATTTCTGCAATTAAGTTTAGCACACCTCCGGATGCTTTGTGGGCTATTCTGTGAGCCTTGATCATTGTTGGCTTTTTTATGTGATTCCAAGTGTTTCTGGAAATAATTGTGATGTCTTAGGCCGTGTCAAATGGCAATTTCGTTGGGATACCGTTGATTAGCATGTTGATGAATCATCGTCGTGGCTTAGGTTCACTTCGATATGCGGCAGTTACCGAAAGCGATTCAGCACCATGCTTTCAAAAGGTAGAACTTCTTCGTGTTCTTTGGCTGGGCTTGGCTGCAGAAATCTTCATAGCCCGCTTACGGCATTTTTCGCAGATGGGACATTTGAATGGGCAGCAACGCGCAAAATGCCATTCGCCCACGATCAGCAAGCTGTAGGTGGTTTGTACGGGGCCGTCTCGAACGGTTTACTTCGGCTAGCATTTCTGACATTTTTCACAGCGTGAACCGCGTCGGATGGTGCAGGGCGACGCTATTCAATTAGGGCGCTGTTGTGCTTCAAAATGAGCAATCGCTTGCGTTCGCCAATAAGGACCTTTCGTGTAAAACTTGGGTCTTGATCAAACTTAGCAAGCCTTGTGCGGATCTCAGCATCATAGGCGGACTGCAGTGCACTGACGAAAATGAAACATTTAAATTGGTCGTCCGTCAAAGATCGTACTCTGAAATCCTCACACTCGCGGTAAACCATGTCAGCTAGCGCCCCACAATCGTCTGTTTCCCGTTTGACAATCTTTAGGCATTGATAACGAATGCTGAACAGAGAAGCTGGCTCACCAAACATTTCACTGAGCCGTGACACCGCTTCGTCGAAGGTTAGGTCCTTTGGTTGTTTCGGCAGAATATGATCGATTAATCTTGAGTGTTCGCTTGTGCCAAGCTTGCAGAGGAACAACCGCACTTCCCAGGGATCGTCCTGACGAGTGAAGTCCGTCCGGAACATGTCTTCCCAGCGTTTGAACCATGCCACGAAGGTGTAACCGGAATCTGCGTCAAAATTAAATTCACCGATCGCATTAGTGGAAAGATTAACAGAATTCACCTGCGTAGCCCGTGCTGCTCCTGCTCAAGCAATTCGTCAAATGTTCAATCATTTTCACTTGAGCTTCCATTTGGGATTATTGTCGCAAAAGCAGATTGCGAACACTTCATCAACATGACAGGTACTTTGGAGTGGGAATTGGTTAACTGGATACACGCGAATGCATTCGTTCAGTACATTGTCCTTCCGACGAGAAGTCTAATTTTGAATACCTCCTCCTCACTAGGCATGACCATGTATCAGAGATGCATGCGGAGGCCCCCATAGGTAGGAGCGATCACCGTGTTCTTACCTTTTCGGTGAATCTTAAGAAGCTACCATCGAAACCTCGACTTGTGAGAAAGTTTAGCCGAATTGATATTAATCGCTTGCGGAGCAGAGCCCTCCAGCTCCCTTTGGTTCCTGCTCAAGAACAGGCAAATTAGAACAAAGATGGGGCACGTTTAAGTCGCCTTGTACAATTGCTGGATGAGTTCGCCAACTTGCGCTCCGATAGAAGCAGAAGTAAACCACGCTGGTGTCGACGTGAAATTGCTCGAATGCTTTGGAGACGCAATACTTGTTGGAAAAGCTTTAAGGAAGCTGAAGGCTTCAGACAGTGACTACACTATAAACCATCTCGAAATAGTGCAATCAAATTACAGAGGCTAGCTAAATATCGCTATGAGCTCAGATTAGCCCAGAATGCAAGAAGAAATCCAAATTTGCATTACAGTTAAGTACAGTCAAAAGCTTCTTTGAGAGTGTGCATTGGTAACCTGACTAAGAAGGGTGGTAGTGAGGTTGTGGAAGATGCAGCTAAGGCGGAAATAACATTCTGTCTTTCAGCGCTTGCACCGGGTAGAGAGTGGCTGTGCAAGCCCCTCGCAGTCACAGTTTTCATGTGACATTGAAATGCAAGACATTGTAATAACCGCATCAGAGGTTCGTGAGGTGCTGGCTGGCTTAAGCCCCTATAAATCCGCAGGTGCTGATAATGTTCATCCATCGATTGTTAAACCGCTCGGTGATATTCTACAGTATACTCGAACCTATTCAACTGTTCTCTTCGAGAAGGTAAGCTACCGCATGACTGGAAACAGGCGACAGTTGTGGTAGTTCATAAATGGGGCTCCATATCTGCATCACACAACCATCGGCCAGTCGGTCTGACAAGTATTTTGCATAAATGCTTGGAGAAGCTCAGTAGACACCGAATTTGTGAGCACAATTGTTAACAACTTGATTGGATTGGAACAGCATGCCTTCGTTAGAAAGAAGTCGTCTTACGAATCTGTTGTGTTTCTTGGACGAAATAACCTGATGCCTCGATATCGGGATTCCAGTGGAGGCCTGTTACCTAGACTTCAGTACAGCATTTGACCTGGTTAACTATCACGTTTTACTAGAGAAGCTAACTTGATTTGGGTTGCATCCACAACTAATGACTTGGTTATCGGATTTCCTCTGTGGCAGAAAGTTGAATGTCAGAATTGGTAAAGCCAGATTCAGCATGGGCATTGCTCATAGCGGAGTCCCCCAAGGTTCAGTGCTATGACCGTTGCTGTTTCTTATGTTTATAAATGATCTAGCCCCACTACTCGATAACCACTGTTATGTTTTTGCGGACGACCTGAAGCTTGTCAGTAGGGGAGATAGGGATACATTGTCCAAAGATCTAGACACTGGCAAAATGCTCTGAATCATGGGAGTTGTCATTGAATGCGTATAGATGTCAGCTGATATCATCCAGCAACGTTGCGATTACGGTGCAAACATCCACAAAGTCTCTGTCATTGCAGTATGTAGATAAGGCGAGGGACTTGGGCATCGTTATGGTAGGTAGTTTCAGGCCTTCGGCGCAGTGCCAATATGCTGCTAACAGAGCGCAACAGGAACTTTTTCGCCTCAGGAGAACGTTGTGCAATACTAAGCCTGAGGTCCTTTTCCCATTGTACAAAGTAGTGGTTCGGCCGCACTTAGAGTATTGTGCTCAAGCTTGGGCACCTTATTTTCGAAAGGACGCCGCTTGCTGTACAAAGACTAGCTACCAGAATGATTGAAGAGCAGCGTGAGAAGTTGCATTTTGACCGCCTGGATTCTCTAGCGTTGTTCTAATTGGAACGATGCAGCCTAAGGGGATACGTGATGGAAACCATTTACATTAAAAGGGCTCTCAGTGGCATTAAGCCTACCGATCTGTTTGACCTAGCTACGTCGGACCACCTGCGGGTACACCATCAGAAGCTCAAGACGCATAGGTCTAGACTGGATATCCGGGTGAAATTTTTCCTAACCGCCTAGTACGTAGTTGGAATTTACTTCCACCTGTACTAGTGGAATGTACTACTATAGAAGCCTATAAAGAGGCCCAGATATGAACTGGTTCAATCTGTTTTCGGATTTCCACTGAGATTGCTGGGTTATAATTGGTACCCTCAGGATGTTACGAATAGTTTCATGAAGTTATGAGACGTTCCTCTTACTCATTTTTTCTCTGCAGAAGTAAAGCTTGAACATCGAAGTGCCGGGGGGCTTTGCTAGCTTACCGGCACACGAAACAGGACGCTCGTTGGAAGAAGGCGTTTTTCGTCCCCGAAGATCTGACATAACCTGACCTGATAAAGCCCCCTAAGACGCGCGCGGTTTAAAATCTCAAAAAAGATGTTTTTAGCAATCTGCCTTCAAACTATACTTGGAAGCATAGTCCAAAGGGGCAGTCTACAAACTTTACACTGTTCGCGTCAAGTCGCAATTGAACTTGAACTTGGAATGCAATTCCCTGTGAGTTCGTTCCGGTTATTCCCTCAAAGAAGCCTGGAAATTTTTCTCTCCCATCTGTATTTACAGTTCTGATTGCATTAGATTTCTCATGTTTTGCTTGTCTCTTTTTATTTGTGTTTTCTAAGCCATATTCATTAACCGGATTTCGCATCTTATATCCCTTGCCTAGTGCAAAGTTAGTTTCATCACAAGGCCTTATCATTTTCAGCGTTTAGAATCGCGACTGCTCAACCCACTAGCTGTTTCGGTGCCTTTTTCTCCCGAGGCCCTGTCATTGCCCCCTAGGTTGTCACTCTATTTTGTTGCTCGTTTTCACCAATTCTTGTGTTCACGCTTAATTATACTGATCGCCGACTCATCACTGTTCTCTAAGTGCCGTCTACTCTCCCAACGTCCGCAGGCCAGTAGTTGCAGGTAACAGTAGATACTGCGTTTGTCGCTCTGGGTCGCCACCACATATTCGCTGTCTGTTGCAAGCGACAGTACCATGGGCACTGTGCTAAGCTCACGCAGCCAGAGCTGGATTTTTACGCCTACCAAAGCGAAGTGGTTGTGTAGCGAATACCCGGAGTTACTCCATAGAGGCTTCAAAGACAGACCCATTAGCACTTCAGCCAGTCTCGACGAAGTCCACCTGTAATGGCGTTGACATTTGCAACTTGCCTCCCGGTGTATTGGTTGTAAGCATAGGCATTGACACTCGTGACTTGGCACCAGTCAACGTCGCAGTTACCTCTTCAGCACAACCTTAAGACCTAGACGGTGTCTGTCCACATAAGTCTCTCGCTACAGAAATAGTCCCTACCGGTCAGAGGCTGAATGATACCCTGCCCATGTTTCTTGATTCATCTCCTCTGCGCGACCTGTCGCCGTCACTGAAAACTGGTGAGAAAAACATCCGAGAACTAACGGATGACTCGCCAACAAGTGAGCAGATCCCAGGAACCAGCGTCAAAAACCCACAACGCAACTACCGCGGCTTCCCCAAACGAACGAGGAACAAGCACGGTCCTAAGATATGCGCCCAGTACACTCAGTGCACCATGCATTTGCGGGCGAGCCCAGTTTCCTAGCTGGCACATGTTACCACAACCTAGGCCCTCACCATCCAGCCAAGGCACCAATACGCATCGGAACAATGTCTTGCTGGAATTCAACCGGGCGAGAGCGACCACCCATCACTTTCCCATAGAGCCAGTACCGATCTTTTCCAACGGCACTCCTTGCGGCAACTCTTTGGACTCCCGTCCACTCACTTGCCCTCTCTTTGCCGTCTACGGGCACCCCGCTGGCCAGGTTACAAACATCCAAAGCCATTACGGGTCAATGGATGGTACTGGTGACGCCCTAGAAATACCGCTGGCATCGGCTTGCTTGAACAAGCTGAACTCGAAAATCCGCGCCCAGCTAAACTTTCCCTGGGTAGTGAGGGAAGCGCGAAGGGAGGCAGGTATCAACAGCACCCACCCCCCTCCCGACAGAGCTTGCGGTATAATCATACACTGGTCCTTTAACTCCACACAACTGACACGGTCAAAGCCTCCCACCATAATGTTCAGCAGTGGAACTACATTCGAACGCAGCTGAACCTATCAGTGGACAACTGTGGGGCGTGACCTGTTCACCGCCTCCCGAGGACAGCTCACCTTTTGCAGATACCGGCGCCAAAACTGCTCACTGTCATTCTTTTCACTACTTAGATGCGCCAGACTGTACTACAACGGTGGTACGAGCTTCGTGGCAACTTTCTGTACGAAGTCAGGATACATCCGGACAAACCGCATGAGGAGTGCAAGCAAATTCAGACACAGTTCCACGCCATCTAGCCAAACCACACCATCACTAACTATTACGCGACTTGAGGATTTACCAAAAAACGAACAGTCACCGGCCTTGGAGGGGTCGATGTAAACCAAGCCCCAACTACCCTACCAACTGCACCTTGTTACCACTAATCACCCGTAGTTCATGTTAGCATCTGGAGCTGCTTGTACACTAACGCTCTGTCAATGCGGAACAACGTGCCAGGAATCGCTACTCTTGCGTTTGACACGCAAGCTAAAGTAATCTATGTAACCGAAACCTGGTTCTGCCCAGATGTTGTCGACGCCGAGGTAGCTATCCCAGAACACGTGCTGCTTCGAAACGACCGTGAACGCGGAAGGAGCGGAAGCGTAGCTTTGTACGTATCAGACCGCCTCACATGCGTCTTTCTCAAAGCTCCGGAACTGCTATTTCTTCCTGAATCCCTCTGGATTCGCCTCCGCGGTTCCGGTGCGACCGATCTTACTTTTCGAGTGGTCTATCGCCCGCCCTTAGCTCCTCCAGAATGGCTGTGGCGTTGGAATGCAGCCCTTCGAGCACTTGCTTCTAACTTACTTTTTCCCCTACTCGTTGCATGGGACTTCAATTTCCCGGACATCGACCTTGCCTCTGCCCAGGATTACGGCCAACACAGCTATGAGTTTCTTGCCAGTGTTTTAGAACACGGCCTAACCGAACACGTAAAGTTCACTCGGTGGCGAAACGGGCAAAACCCGTCGAAACTCGCTCACTAGCGAGCCACATCCAATTGAATATGTAAAACTGAACGCCTCACTCGGTGCCATTGATCACTTAGTTATCAGTTTTCGGGTGGTAGCAAATGTCACGCTCAACGCTACTGCAGTACCCACTAGGCTGAACTTTCACCGAGCGGACTATGACGCGAGTTGACTGGTCTCTCGCAGCACAATTTCCCACGGTCGATGATCACTGGAACTGCATCGTTGCTCACATCAATGACGCCATCAGGGCATACGTTCCTGCAGTGGGTGCTTTTGCACCAAAACGCCAGAACCAGCTTCAGCCCGCCAAACTTAGGCTGATAAGGGAGAAGTAGGCCCTCTTGGACAGATTCTTACTACTTGGTGACTCTGAATCGCGAGCACAATACCGCAGAGTGCGAAATTCCTGTGTAGCAGCTGTTCGCCGAGACCAAAAGCCTACCAACTTGCTCTCGCTAGACGCTTTTCTGATAACTTCAAGGTCTCTTTTCGGCACTCTGCCTCTCTCACGAAATCGTGGACTGCAATCGGCAGTCTACTGAGACCCAAACACTACAACGTCGGACAAAGAAGCTGCAGAACTGCTGAAGGCTCGATACGAGTCCGTTTTTAGCACCTCGACGCTGAGTGAGCGCACTGCCGTACTGGCCGAACCGCTTGCTTCACTGTACAGCCGCTCCCACATCAGCACAGAATATCTAAACACTTGGAAGCAAGGGGTCATAACACCGATATACAAGGGTGGTGACAGGACAAATCCCTCTAATTACCGCCCGATAGCACTGCTTCCACTGCTTCCGAAGTAATGGAGAGCATCAGGCAATGTTCTGCGCTAACAACTAGAAAGCCAGTCCTTAATAGCCCGGGAACAACACGCGTTCCGCAGAGCTCACTCGTGCACCACGAATCCTCTCGCAGCCCTTGATTCCTGGGCAGCAGAGACACACTCATATTCCGACTGACGTGGTTTACTTAGATTTTCCAAAAGCATTTGACCGGGTTAATCATGCAGTCCTCTTAAGTAAGTTTGGGGGTTGACCAGCAAACGATCTCCTGGCTAAGTACCTACCTATCCGGGCGCACCTACCAAGTTCGTGTAGATGTCACACTCCAGCGCTCTGGCTGCGACGACCGGAGTGCCCCCCTCGGGCCCCTGCTGTCCACTTTGTTAATCAATAATCTACCATCTTCCATTAGCAGTCATATACTGCTATATGGGAACGATGCTAAGATATGGCGACCTATCCGCGAGCCATGCGGTCAGGCGCGTCTACAGAGAGACGTCGACGGTGCCTACTCCTGGACCTCGGAAAACCTGCTTCCGTTCAACACCGTCAAGTGAAAGGTCATGCACATCGGACATTATGCGAGCACTCCGCACACTATCGGCGGCGTGCGTCTTAACGCCACATTCAAGGAACGCGACCTCGGCACTATTATATCTGCCAACCTGAGCCCGAGCACTAACCTAGCCACATTGGCGAGAGTGGTCAGCATGCGCCTGGCTCTCTTTGGGCGTGTATTAGGGTCATCATCATCATCAATAGCAGTACATCAGCCATTTGAACTGGTGCTTCGCTGCCATGGGGACCTATGAAATAAAGAATAAGAAAAGGGAGAGAAGGGGGACTTACCTGAAAACCTTAATGCCCTAAACAAACATTCAGGGTCAAGGCACCTACACCTTGTGTAGACAACATTCCGTCACAAACAGCTGGCTATCGTGCAAAGATAAGGCGGCATCTGCGAGACTGCTTCCTTGCGGCTTTCACTGCCACGCGTCATAATCAGCCATTACCCCGCAGATAACTCAGCACCAAACACACTTTAAACAGGCAATCCGATTAGGAGACGGCAGCAGACGCTCCACTGGTGTCTACTGCGATCCATGTCCCGTAAAGTCTCGAGCCAAGCACAAGACGAGTCACGTGGACTCCAGCCCGGAAGGCGAGACGGACCAACGGCACCCAGTTTGGTCGTCGGTGACTCCTTTCCCGCTGCCATATCAACTTCTGTCCACCTCGAGCCTTGCGCCACCCTACGCCTGACAAACTAAACAAGGCCCTCCTAGGTAAGCGGTGACCAGGCATACGTAGCAGGTGCCCGAGCCAACGCAACTTATTCAGTGCTATCTCTTGTTCCAAGGAACTAGCTTAGTTATCTCTGCCTAATACCTGCCTACGCACATTATCGTTGCGGACACATCGGTGCCATCCGACACCAGCACTGCTTCGTAGTCAACGATGATAAGGGACTTGAAGGCGCCTCAGATCTTCAGACCGAAGAGGCTAAGTCTCACTACCATAGAGCAGAACGGGCCTCACTCTGGCCTTGTACACCCGGCCTTTCAGACGAAGGGAAACTTCTGTCGCCAAAGATGCCGCAGGTTCAAGAAGGTAGCTCTGGCTTTTGCAATGCGTGAGCTGACATCAATTTCTATGCACCCATCATTTCTGATGCAGCTGCCAAGATAAGTGAAATGATCAACCACCTCGAGTTTCTCGTTAGCAAGGGTCAAGGGGTCATCAAGTGGCTGGTGGTCCTGCAGCAACACTTTGCACTTTGAAGGTGCGAAGTGCATACCAAATAATGGGACCACTCTGGATAGGCTATTCAGGGTTGATTGCGCCACTGCAACATCGTTGAAAAGCAAGACGATTTCATCTGCATAATGAAGGTTAACTAACCTTTCATCAGGCAGCACTTAAACGTCTACATCGTTAGATTCCGCAAGGGAACGCTCCATGATAGAATCCACTACGAAATTGAACAAAAATGGGGAAATCGGACAACCCTGACGAACGGTACTTGTGGTCGGAAAGCTATCCGATAGGACACCGTAGACTCTGACGCGGCCTGTAGTGTTCGAGTATAGAGCACGAAGGATGTTCACATATTTCGTGCAAGTATTGGCGCAAGTATTTCGAACAGAATCGATCGATCGACTGTATCGAACGCACTCTTGAAATCGAGGAACACAGCTATTGTCGGTCTGCGGTATCCGTGGCGCTGCTCTAGCACCTGCCGCAAAGTGTATGGTCTATACAGCCACGTCCTGGGCGGAAACCGGCCTGCTCTTCCCTAATGCGAGATTCCCGTTCCGCAGTGAGGCGACGAACGAGAATCGAGGCCAGTAATTTTGTCACAACTGGCGTTAGGCTAATACCCCTGTGGTTAGAACAGTCTATGCGACTGCCCTTCTTGTATATTGCCACTATAATCGATTCGCTCCAATTAGCCGAGACACTTCCTTCCAGATACATTCGAATAAGGAGGCAAGTGCTTTGCAGAGGACCTCACCTCCATCCTTAAATAGTGCAGATTGGAGGGAATCCGGGCCAGAGGCACGAAAACGATTAAGGGCTGTGATCGCGTTTCGGATCTCGGCCTCCGACGGAGGCTCTAAACTAACCGTCCATGGCTCGTCCTGTATCACCTGAGTAGGAAGAGGTCCGGGAGCAGGGGTCCAGCTGAACTGATCTTGAAAGTGTCCCGCCCAACGAGCTATACGGCGCTCCTTATTGTGTATCTGCGCACCCGCGCTGTCTCTGTTTGTCTCACTGACGCCTGGTTTCCTGGAAACAGTGGTGCGAATAAGCTGGAAGAGCTTGCGGTAATTGCCTACTGCTCCTGCCTCCTCCATTTCTTGAGCCATACTGGTCCAGAAGGCTTCCTTGTCAGCACGTAGGCTCTGTTTAGTTCACGCCTAATAGCCTGTCTGGTCACATTGTGTTCAGAGCCAGCCGGGAGGGGTTTTCTAGATTCCAACAGGTTCACCGACCTCTCGGATATCCAGTGACTGGTGCGGTGACGATGGATAGTGCAACAAGCAGGTGCTTCTGCGTCGTGCATGGCGGCCGAGATTCTATTCCACTGAAGCTCAGTGTCATTAGGATAAGAAGACGTCTCCACGATTACGTGGCTTTCCAGGTCTATTATGACACAGTAGTCACTAAGTTAGATAACCTCGTCTTTAACGTTAGGTGGAGCCAACTTTCTTGAGGCATCACACCCGCATTTGCAAATTCCTTACGTGTCATAGTGACAGTAAGTTCAGCGATTTTCCCGAGAATAAAACGCACATTGCTGGAGAGAATCAACGGGATTTATTATCTATTTACGGGACAGTGTCGGAGACCAGCTTGCTAACCAGCGCGATGTTTTCTCATCTTAGCAAATGTTTCTTAAAAATTCGTTTGATGGTATATCTGGGCCTTTTACCGCATTCGGCGTAAGATGTGCTTCACGCGGCGTTTCGAAGTGATTGCCTAAATTCAACAGAGTAGGATATAAATGATGACCATATAATGGATTAGATAACGAGAATTCCAAGAATAGCACAATAAAAAAGATATATTAGCAGTAGCTAGCGTAACAAACAGTACTCCAAGAAGAACAGCACGGCCGATTTGAAGTTCACGCCAAATCCCATTGTTAGCTTGGACATTGGGTTTCTACACGGTGTGCAATACCTTGATAATCGCCGACATATTCTTGCTGAGATAGAAGACGACGAGACTCGCAAAGGATTCGGCGAGATTGCATGGTAGCCCTCAGGAACCTGGTGGTTTCATGGTGCGATAGAGACGGAAGCAGCTGTTGCCTTTGATAGTCAGGACAAGATCCAGGGGCAGAAAAGGTTTCGCTTAACAAGCCTTCCGTTTCGTGTGCCAGTACACGAACAGAGCCTCATGCACTTCAACTTGATAGTTGATTCTTGCGTTTATAATGGAGAAAGAGAGTAGTGAGAGCAAAACAACCGTAACACTTTCACGAGGTTGCATAAGCTACTAGCACGTGGTTGGAGGATGCCATGAACTCTCACAGGGAACAGGGCCAACCAATTTTTGTCTATTCAGCACTTTAAATCCTCTACCATATTACACTCCAATAACACAGGGAAGTTTATTCCGGCTAGGCACCAGCCAATTTGAAAGGAACTTGGCCATTATATCGAGCCTAGATTTCTGTTATTTTAATTTTAGACAATGACTCCGCAATTAGTCGGACTGGGCTGAGTAAGCGTCACTGAACATCCTTGAAGATTACTGGTCGCAAATTCACCAGACGTTGTGGCAAATCAAATTGCCAACCTAGACATTGAGTTTCTGTGCAGTCTGTGGAACTTCTGGATTCTCGCCGGCCTGTTCCGGCTGGAAGCGAAAACAATGAGATTCGCAAAGCTCTCAGAGCGAAACTACGTGCTAGCCTAAAGAGAGACCGCGAAGCTTGGTGGTCTCATCGTGCCTCGGAGATGGAAACAGCTGCTGCCCTTGGAAACCATCGGAAGGTATTGTGTCTGGTACGAGAAACGGGCAGCAGGAGAGCTGCTGTTGGCGAGACCATACGTGATGAAGGTGGACGGCCGATCCACATCTTTTCAAAACGCTTGGAGCGTTGGGCCGAACACTTTGAAAAGGAGCTTAATCAACCACACTCTCCGTCACCCATTGATCGCTCTTTTCTCTAGGCCATCCATCTGGACCTGCCTTCATGCGAATAAGTTGAACATGAGGTCAGACTATTGAAATTGAATAAGGCCGCAGGAGCGGATAGAATCCCTCCAGCTCTCTTCACATTTGGGGGACCTACTCTAGTAAATGCTCTGCACAACTCACTTGTGAAGCTGTGGGAACAGGCAAATGTCCCAGCAGACCGGAGCCGCTCAAAACAATTCAATTTTTAAGGGGGCTCACGTTCGGAATGCGGGAATTATAGAGGGAACAGCTTGATCTCAATTGCTTCTAAGATATTCGCCTGTCGTTCTTCTTATACTTGCCAGCACCTGTGAAATTCAGATTCTTGAGGAGCAAGCCGGGTTTCGTCGAAATCGCGGCTGTAATGACTACATCATTACATTGCATCAATTGTTGCAGCACCGCCATATTTATCGGCGAGTCACCGTATTCGTGTTCCTTGACATTAAAGATTCCTTCGATTCGGCTGATCGATGTGCTTTTCCGGACTTTGTGCTCAGGAAAGTTGTGCCCGAAACATACGTACACATTCTCATAGCGCTTTGCGCGCATAGTTCGGACAAGCTGTCGCTGCGTTCACTAAACACGACGTGCAAGCCGTGTAACTGCTCCCAGGGGATCGACTTGGAGTAGGCTGACGACATCGCTCTAACCTGTGACAGCTCCCAAACGTGCCAAGTAGCACTAGACATATTGGCATTTGCTGTCCGTCGTTTCGGGCTATGCTTTGCTCTCTAGAAATGCAAAGTCTACTAAAGATATCAGTAGTACACCAGTACGCAGTACCGACGCTTCGCTGCTGCGCAACCACCAACAATCGCACGTGGTCCTAGGATACTGCAATGGTCACCCGGTTCCTACGCAGGCTCGAACCTGCACCTTCGGATTACAAGGCAGGCTTGTGATCTTTAAATTATCTAGGCGGCTATATCAGCGCCAGTGGAATAGAAGATGTGATCACAAACTGCACGCTAATTCATATAGTAAGTAGCCGGCCCCATTTACGTTTGTGGTGTGTCTTTGTCCTTCTCCTTCCCCACTTCTCTTCCCCTCCAATCACGATCTCTTGCAGCAAAATATGTTACTACGCATTGTGTTGCTATCTTTGTATATGCTACCTTTTTGTCTTGCGGCACAATTGTTGTAGTGTTTCCCATCTTAAGCTAACGTGTAATGATGATGTTGATGTTTTACGGAATAATGAGCCACTCTCATTCCGACCCCCAACCTGGAGAGCCAGGAGACTGACTTTGTATAACTAACCATTGACAAATCTGATGAGTGGCTCCGAAGGTACCAAAAGCAACACCACGTTAAGGACCAGTCTCGTATATCACCCCAACTGCCCGGCTACGATTCTAATGAAAATGAACACGTCTGATTGAAAAAATCTTGTTAACATGGCGAAAAGCCGGCCTCAGTGGCGTTTGTGTTGTGAGCTATTTTCCGTTCCCCTACTCTTTAGCTTCCCCCTCCAATATCGCATGTAATGGCTTGTATCTCATCTTCACATATCTCTTCTTTTTGTATTGCGGCATAATAGCTGATGTGTTTCTCACATTCAACCAACATGTAACGCTGATGCAATTGGTGACTTAATCTGTCACACGTTGGTTTGACGGTCAAATAACATGACTGCATAAAAACTCCTCAAACGTGACTCTTAGTTTATCACCATTGTTTTCGCGCCGTGTTGTGGCGACTAATGGTTATGTATACACCGCTTTGTTTGATGACCAAATTTTGTTCTATCCTCCTTTCTGTTTTAGCACATATGTACCACTTGGAAAGAATTGCGGCTTCCGTGGGGAATATCACTTACACTCATGGAATGTATGCGATTGACCCCTACTACTACGGCGACTGCCTCAAGGAAAAACGTGATGAGGAGACAATATCCCTACTTAAACGTTTGGAGGCTTTGGATTCCTCCGTCACACACCTTATTTGTTTGCTGAAATCCGAGTCTAAGTCGTCACTACGCACTTCGGTGGACGAACCGAAGAGTACAGAGTTAACAAAGCTTCAGACGCCGTCTCCTGCAACTGGAATGTTCCCCTGCTTATCTTTGGTTGTTCAAGCAAATCCTTTGAACCCACCGTCGGCTGCACTTTTGTTCTTCAACTTAATTCTCAAAAGTGCCTTTCGGCTTTCGCTTCATTTTTATGTCCACTCAAATGTATCACGGATGCCTGAAAAGTTACTGGATTTTATGCGTTCACTGAAGTCGTACTACGCGGATCCTGTGATCAACGTACGGATCGTTTGGTCTTCTGGTATTCCAGATTGTGTAACTTATAGTGATTTTCGTGCTGGTTTACTTTACGGTGAATCAATGCTATTACTGAAATTCCTCCAGTTTTTTCCAAACAACAGTTTTCCTGATGCACAAAGCGTGTTAGTGAGCATAGCCGCATTGAATAACGCCGATGAAAGGTCGGATGCGTTGCAAAGAATTTCGCGGCATCCACATTTTCTCACATTGGATCGCACCGTTCCAAGTATCGCTGACTGTTACCTATACGCAGTGATGCAGAGAAAACATATTTTCCCGCACCTATCGTCCGAGCTTACCGCTTGGTACACTTTTTGCGACAAACAATTGTCCCCGGTTATGAACACTATACTATAGTGTCTTTATGTCATGTTAATAATGAAGTTTGTCGCCAGTCTAACGCTTTTCCATGCCGCAACATCATAACATAAGGTTTTCACATTTCTGATACGAATGTTGCAATCATGTGTGTTGTCTTATTTTAATTTGTAAATACATATGTGAAAGGGTGTGCATTGCGCCGTTTTTCCCACTTACGCTGTTTTCACTGGGTTTATGTAAGAACTATTTACTCATCATCAACGCACCGTAGGGCAACTAGACGTGTGATGATTGCTTACAGGCTCCGTTTGCTGAGTACTGTGGGATAGCAGGTCTCATCGTGTGCTCTTTCTGTTCACTCTACTCGTTCTATCTTAAGGCTGTCATCATCATCATCAGTACACGTTAGCCTTAGGTGAGAGACACCACAGCTAATGTGCCGTAACACAAAAAATAAGATATTAACCAATACACTTAAAAAGCTCTAAAAAGTAACATCGTGCTAAATAACACATTATGCTTAGGGTTTGAGATCGTTGTTGGAGAGGGAACCTAAAAGGGAGGGGAGGGACAGACAACACAAACGCCGCTGAGGTCGGCTGTTTATCATGTCAGCTTGTGTATCCAATCAAACGTGTTCATCGTCCTTCGGTCCCCAGCCCTGCAATCTGGGGCCATTAACCGACGAAGTGACCAAATCATCGCTTGCTCTCCCCTTCTCTTCCAACCAGACCCCGGGCGCGCAAACCCACTTAGCGGTAGTCGGTGTGCTGGCATGCGCAGCACGTGACCTAGGCATCGGAGCCTGATGCGTGGTTCACTCGCTCCGGCACCAAATACACAACGCCAGAAACATCCATTGCTTACGCGATGTTCCCACCAGACACGGCCTATACTACAAGGGTAGCTATGGTCAAGCGTAACTAGCCTCTTTAAGTTTGTCGACCTGATAGGCCAGATTTCGTAACCGTACAGGAGGGTTGAACGGACGGCTGCATTGTAAACTCTATCCTTAAGAGCGAGGGTGATGTCACGCCGGCACCAAAGGTGGTGGAGATTGGCAAAAGTACTTTGGGCTTTTGCTATGCGGTTTTTTTAAAATCTCATCTTCTATTCCGCTGGCGCTGATATAGCTGCCTAGGTACTTGCATTTCTCACCGAATTCAGGCTAATCAGCACCAAGGGTCAGTGCAGAGGTGAATCGCTGCCAATCTTGGAGGAAAACTTTTCGTTTCGACAATGCAACGCGTAGCCCGAAACGACGGACAGCGAATACTAATTTGTCCCTGCCACGGCGCTTTTGACCATCGCAATGAGGCTGGACCTTACCGTGGTGCGATGGTTTGCGTGCCTCAGAGATCCATTGAGCTATGCTGGGTGGTGCATTTTTTGCACCTTCAGAGCCACTCATGCCAGATTGGTCAATGGTTAGAGGCCAGACAAACTCAGCCTCCTGGTCCTCCAGGTTGGGGGTTGGAATGGGGGTGGCTCCTCATTTCATAAAACGGGCTCTGTAGTCCAGTGCCAAAACCCGCTGCCTTGCGGTAAGGTTTTTGAACCAAAGGCTTTGGTTGAGGACCCTAATCGTTCTCCTGTCTAGGCCTGGGCAACCTGACAGTATTCTGCCCACGCAATACAATGAACCTTTCCTACAATACTTTCTTGATGCTCTGGCCGTCGCAGAGGATAATAAACGGCGCCCTATCTGCTGCATCGAGCAGGGTGGATAGGGGTAAGGATGCTACTGCTCAGGCCTTCCCGTCTTCTTATACCCCTTCTTGCGCTTTTTCATCCTTATCGTCCCGCTCCAACTTTACTTATATCCCCCCCATTTTCAATCCCCCAATTCTTGGCCCTCCCCCAGCTTACTTTAGTAGTCGCTTGTCTTCTAATTTCAAATCACACACAATCGCAGGGCCTCGCTCCAATCCAGTCGACAAGTCCATGTTCAACCAAGCGGACAACGTCAGTTCATCCGTTTCCCTTTGGAGTCCTCGTGTCTCGCTAAGATTGGCATGCCTCAACGTGCGCACCTTGCTGCAGATTGGCCAACAGGCAGCACTTGCCCGCACACTAGAGACCCTGTCGATCGATATTTGCTGTTTATCAGAAACCCGCCTGCAAGATTCGAGCTCCGTGCTTACCCTGAGATCCCCTACAGGCGACACTGGCGGCACATTCTCATTGCGCCTGTCTGGCGATGATGCAGCTTCAAATGCCGGTCAAGCTGGCGTCGGCATTGTTTTGAGTCCCCGGGCTGAAGCTGCCCTGATTGACTGGATCCCAGTAAACAGTAGGATGTGCGCCGTTAGATTAGCTGGTTCGTTCCGTGCTACGAAGTCGCGCGGGGACAAACGGTGCCTGTTTGTCATTGCGGCTTACGCCCCTACAAACTGTAGCACTGACTCGGTAAAAGATGATTTCTATCAGCAACTGCACGAGCTCCTTCGTTACAGAAGAAACACGGATACTGTGGTGTTGGCTGGTGATCTAAACGCCCAAGTCGGGAAATTGTCCTCTGATGAGCTTCATCTGGGCGGCCAACATGGTGTGGGCTCCCGTAATGATAATGGTGAGCGATTGCTACAGCTGTGTGAAGATGCTCGCCTCTTTCTCGCGAGCACTAACTTTCGACACAGCACCCGCAGAAGCGTGACTTGGCGGCCAGCAGCCTCGGGCCAGCCATGGACGCAAATCGATCATATCGCGATCAGTTACCGCTGGAGAGGCTGTGTCCAAAACTGCCGCTCGATTTGGAGCACGAGCGTGGACTCTGACCACGCACTTGTCTGCGCCGAACTCCGAGTGCGTTTCGGTGGACGTCCGCAACGTCGATGTGAACGGATTGACACCAGCCAGCTGGCGAAGCCAGATGTTCTGAATGTGTACCAAAGTGCGCTGACATCTGGGCTGAGCAGGCGCCCACTAAACACCGTTGAAGATCACTGGTCGCATATTCGTCAAGCGTTGCTGTTAGCAGGCATGTCTTCATGTGGCAAAGCAAATTGCCAAACCGGACATTGGGTCTCTACACAGTCTCTGGAACTTATGGATGCTCGCCGACGTATTCCGGCTGGAAACGAATACAATGAGACTCGCAAAAATCTCAGGGCAAAACTACGTGCTAGCCTGAAGAAGGATCGCGAAACCTGGTGGTCTCATCGTGCATCGGAAATGGAAACAGCCGCTGCCGTTGGTAATCATCGTAAGTTATTCCGTCTGATACGGGAAACAGGCAGCAGAAGACCTGGTGTTAGCGAGACCATACGCGACGAGAGTGGGCAGCCGATCCACAGCCTGTCAAAACGCTTGGAGCGTTGGGCTGAACACTTTGCAAGGCAATTTAATCAACCTGAGTTATCGCTTTCTTCTTCGGGCATTGAGCGCCCTTCTGCCTGGGCCGTCTCCTTGGATCCGCCATCACGTGCAGAAGTCGAACGTGAGATCAGGCTGTTGAAATTGCATAAGGCCGCAGGGGCAGATAGAATTCCCCCAGCCCTCTTCAAATTCGGGGGACCTGCTCTAGTAGATGATATACACGAGTTGCTAGTAAAACTTTGGGAGCAGGAGACAGTCCCGACAGACTGGAACCGCTCCGTCATTGTCCCAATTTTCAAGGGAGGCTCTCGTTTGGAATGCGGCAATCATAGAGGGATCAGTCTGATTTCGATTGCCTCTAAATTGCTTGCCTCTATCATTCTCCACAGACTGACTGGCACTCGTGAAAGCCAGATTCGTGAAGAGCAAGCCGGATTTCGTCAAGGTCGGGGCTGCATCGACCACATCTTCACCTTGCGTCAAGTGTTGGAGCACCGCCATGTTTATTGGCGACCCACCGTTGTCGTGTTTCTTGACATAAAAGGTGCCTTCGACTCAGTCGATCGATGTGCCCTTTGGGACTGTCTGTTGAGGAAAGGTGTGCCTGATAAATATGTAAATATTATCAAAGCGCTGTACGCGCATAGTTCGGGCAGGGTGAGGGTTTATGGCAAACTGTCGCCACCCTTCAGTATCACCAGCGGTGTGAGACAAGGATGCCCGCTGTCGCCTTTCCTCTTCAACTTCGCTATTGATGAAGTCATGGAAACAGCGTTCGCTGGACACGACCTAGAAGGTGTGGAGCTACTTCCTGGTGAGCGACTTCTTGACTTGGAGTATGCAGACGATATTGCCCTAATCTGTGACAGCTCCCAAACATGCCAAATAGCACTGGACCGATTAGCACTGGCTGTCAATCGTTTTGGGCTATGCTTTGCTCCATCGAAATGCAAAGTACTTCTCCAAGATTGGCAGGGACCCAACCCTGCGCTAACGCTTGGTGGTGATCTGCTAGAAGTCGTTCAGGAATTCAAGTACCTGGGCAGCTATATTAGCACCCGTGGGATTGAAGATGAGGTTACGAACCGTATAGCAAAAGCTCGAGGTGCTTTTGCCAATCTCCGCCACCTGTGGCGCAGACGCGACATTACTCTCGCCCTGAAGGGCAGAGTTTACAACGCAGCCGTCCGTTCAACTCTCTTATATGGCTGTGAAACCTGGCCCATAAGGTCGACAGACATGAAGAGGCTCGTCACATTCGATCATCGCTGCCTGCGCAGCTTAGCTCATGTCTGGTGGGAACACCGCGTGAGCAATGAGCGTGTTCGACGTCGCGTATTTGGTGCAGGAAGAGCGAGTGAACCGCTCAGCACCATTATATCACGCACCAGGCTCCGATGGCTGGGCCACGTGTTGCGCATGCCAGCACACCGACTCCCGCGACGTGCATTGTTTGCGCGTTGTGGGTGCGGTTGGAAGAGGAGGAGGGGAGGCCAAGTGATGACTTGGTCGAGAGGAATGAAAACCCTCACTTCGAAGTTGGCGTCGGTTGGTGCATCCCGATTGCCTGGCTGGGGTCCTAAGGATGGTGAACACGTTTGGTTGGACACACTCGCTGATATGGCTTGGAGCCGGCCCCAGTGGCGTTTGTGTTGTGAGTTCCTTTGTCCATCCCCCTCCTGCTTAGCATCCCCCTCCAATCATGATCTCACCTGATAGGTATAATATGACTCTTTTACGGCAGCCAGCTGTTAGCTCTCCGGAATGATGTCCATCCGTTACTGGGGACTCAGCGGGCGTGCCACTGTTTTCCTTTTCTTGTCTTTTGTATTGCGGCACAATAGCTGAGGTGTTTTCCACCTCCAGCTAAC